ATGTCGGCAATATCAGGAAACAGCTTTGGGACGCCAGCGCCATCTAGTGGCGTTCGATGGAGTTAGTGTTGGAATGCACCGGGGTGGGGATTGCCAGTGGACCGGGGCAGCGGCCGCTAGCGGAGCACTGGCTGGTTAGAGTTCACCCCGTGCAGACGACACTGAAACTATCACGCGTTCCATCTGCTGTGTAATTGCTATTTAATTGTAATTGAATATTAAAAAGATTGCAAAAGTGAAGCCTTGTGTAATTCTCGTGTTAACACTATCCATGGAGGCCCACAATGAGCGATACCGAACCACTCCCGCCGTCATATATATATGTCGGAGAAAATGCACCCATTGGGGGTACTTCGTCATCGGATTCTTCGTAAACGCGGTAAGTTCGGTACGGGCTGGCAGAACAACCGCTCACCCTCGTGTCCAACTCAAAAAGTGACGCCTGTCAAATGTCAACATGCCACGCCCCGTACCGACCATCACCCAAGCACACTGCTTGACGTTTCCGACAAATGATAACAGATGGCGTTGTTCTAAAATAACGATACTCGATAGTTGTGCATCTTTGTTGATTCTGCGACATATATATATACTTGCGACCCGCCCCGGCTTCGCACGGGTGCAATATGCATGCATTATACATATAAACCTTCCTTAAGAATAACTTCTTCTATTAAAAAAAAACCATAGCATCGCCATCTATTGATTACCTACTCAACCCAGTCGACATCTGTTAGAATCATTTGGAGTTAACAGATAATTGTGACTGGACAAATAATTAGCAATAAATTAAAGTTGCGACTATAATTTGAGATTTAAACTATCCTATCTCTCAAGTTGGATCGAACTGCACATGGTGTGCGAATTTTATTATAATCGGTTAAGCGGTTTAGGAGTCCATTGAGGACAAACATTGTGACACCAGATTTATATATATTAAGATATATTTTCGTTTTAAAAACGTTGCCCCACATTAGGGTTAACAGGTTACCGAGGCTCCGGCTCGAAGTCCATGAGTAGGAACGGGGTGGGTTTTAGTCAGTAAGACATAGGTGGCCAACCAGTCGTTCGCGACTATTAGTCCAGGCGATCTTGGCAATTAAAAAAAATTAAATACATTGCACAATGATATAACCAATTGCAATAACAAGGGGTAGTTTTATGTTTTCCCTAGTAATAATAAAATAAAAATATTACATAATTGTATACGAATTATGCTGTTTCATTTAAGATTTTAAGTAGTAATGTAATTGGTAGATCGTACAAGGTATTGTCAGGGAAAAATCGGATTTTGGGTCTAAACAAGTTGGCCGTCCCTGCAGTAAGAGTCTGACACTCCGTCCCGCCTCACCCAGGCGAGAGAAGAAAATGGATGATTTTCCCCCTTAAAAAAAACTGTAGGATTTTCTCCTGTGTCGTGTGTACGTTTACAAATATACAAGTTCACATACACATGACACACAGTTCCGGAACAATAATTTAAGGATCACACAAGGAGTTGCTCCGTGCGGGAATCGAACCCGCGCCACGTTGTACGGCAATCGGTTGCCCAACCACCGCGACAACTATGCAGTAAATACTAATAATAAGTAAGTAAGTCATTAATTCAAATATTGATCAGTTGGCAAGTGGCAAGTGCGCCGGGCAATGGGTCTGGGGTTCGATCCCCGGGTCGGGCAAAGTATTATAGGTTAAAAAAAAAATATCATTAATAGCACGGAATCTGGAAATGTGCCCGGTATATGGCAATAGGCCCTATTACATGGGACTCGTAACATAAATAGTGAAAAGTGGGTGTTACATTGTACAGTGGCATTAAGTGCCGTAATGTGCACCTCTGCCTACCCCTTCGGGGATAAAGGGTGTGGATGTTATATTATGTCAATTATATAAAGGTTTTAGTTAATACTCACTTAGGATTTGTAAATCCCACTGTATGCGACCTCTGGTGGTTACTATTCGCCTGCGGAGTTTTATTGCTCTGCCCACAAACTATACAATTGTACAATCGAGGCGGAGATACCGGCCGCTTCGGGGGCAACTTGGCAGGCTTGGCTGGTTTCGACAACCTTGGAGATGATTTCGGTGACGATTTCGGAGGCGACGCCGGCTTTATTGCGATTCTGAAAATAACATAATATTTGTGTTGGGTAATGAAGTGTACAGAGTAGGCTGTAGACATCGCCGCGGCTGCGCACGCTGCTCATGAGGAAGAACCCCCTCTGTGGTTCGAAACTAGTAGAGCTTTTCTCAGTATATTCACGTGAGTAACTCCGGATTTTTAGTTAATTTAGTATTATAGTCCCACGATAGTTATTACAAAAACATAATTGTTATTTATTTTTATTGTCTACTTAAACTAGAGATGGGATTTTACCCGGAAAAAACCCGAATATGGGAAAAAACCGGGAAAAAACCCGGGGAAAATTCCCGAATGGGAAAATATTCGGGTTTTTTCATATTTAACACATGTAACAAATAAGTAATGTGTAGATTATGTACATATCATATAGTACGTACTATTTAAGAACTATTACTACAAGTTAGAGCTAATCTAACTTTGTTTATGTTCATATTGCAGTAATAACGTTCTTAATATCCTTAGGGACCTACTATCAAATGAAATAAAATGAAATTAAACAAAAATCCTGTCTGTTTGTGTGTGATCCTCCGCTCTTAGCGACAGGTAACCCGAAAATACGTGAGCGGGTAGAGGGGCAGGGAAGCAGGTAGTAGAGGGGCGAGCGCGTTGGTGATCTATCTATCTCACACGTTGTTTCGGCTTCATACTGTGCGCACTCGTGTTAATTTGTTGGTTTAATTGACGACTTGGATTTTGTTTGGTGGACTTTTGGTAACCTAATCCTTTGAATTGACAACAACTGCTACGGACTTTGATACCTACTTTTTTTTACGAACGAAATTTACCGGTAAATTTACAGTTTTGTAACTTTTGTAAAGTATAATAAATGATTGTTGGTAAGAGTATCTCTCGTTGTTGTAATTATATTCTTTTAGTCAAACATTCTTTAAAGTTTAATAGGTATTTTTTCTGCTGTTAACATTCCATCACAGAGCGCAGTAAAAACTTATTATAAAACAAGACGACATCATAAATGGTGTTATAATAAATATGCTGGTTATGTTTTAGTTCTTGAAATAGACTACACATTTTAACGTTTCAAATAACAGACAACAGCTAGTGCCTTATACACGCTGGTGCTAAGTACTACTCTGTCAAGAAAGTACCGGGAAAAGATCAATAATACAAAAAATGTCTGTTATTCATCCAAATTTATTTTATCACCTTTAAACTGTCACCGGTGACCGAAACCGGTACTCAACGAATTAAAGTATGCTCCTTTAGAGACGATATACTTGCGCCAACGAATAATCTATTCATCAAAACATTTTTAAACTGCTTCTGCTTCCAGATTTGATTTTAGTTCTCGCCGCGAATTCTCCTTTACGTCTTCTACCGATTGAAAACGGGTGCCACGGAGTGGTAATTTGAGATTAGGAAAAAGAAAAAAGTCAGCAGGAGCCATATCTGAGGCCTTAGTACGAGTTTTATTTACTTTTACAGTATTCGAAACGAGTGCGCGTTCTGCGCTCTGATTAGCCGGCTCGAATGAACCAACCAATCAGAGCGCCGAACGCGTACTAGTTTCGAATACTTTAAACGTAAAACAAACTCGTACTAAGGCCTCTGGTGAATATGGTGGTAGCTGGATGGTATTTGTTGAGTGTTTGGTCAAAAATTCGTTCACCTTGATGCCACCAATGATAGCCTTGTGCGAAAGCGCTTTGTCGTGGTGCAAAATCCAAGAATTTTCTTTCCACAAATCTGGCCCTTTTTGTAGAATTTTCTCTCTTCAACGCCGCATAAAGCTCAAATAATATTCTTTATTTACCGTTAGACCTTCCGGTAAGAATTCAGAGTGCACAACAGCACGATAGTCAAAGAAAACAGTCAACATGACTTTGACTTTTGATCGACTTTGGCGTGGTTTTTTCGGTTTCGGTTCAGTTGGAAGGCGCCACTCCGAAGCTTGTTGACTAGTTTGCATGCCAAACTCATAAACCCACGTCTCGTCACCAATAACAATGCGTTTCATGAATGTTGGGTCCAAACTGACTCGTTCTAGCATATCCTCAGCGACTTTCATGCGATTGAGATTTTGGAGAAAATTTAGATCTTTTGGAACTAGTCGAGCAGCAACATGTTTCATACCCTTTAATGTATAGTATAAATTAGTTAAAATGG